TTTTAGATGAGTTCAACTACTGTAAGGAGCATAGTTTTTAATCACCGGTTTTGCTAGTGGGGTCATAATTGGTGCTATTTCGGCTATAACGAAAAATTTTAATGATGCGTAATTATAATTTTAGAAGATGTTCATAAAACATTTAATCACTCTATTAAAAAAGTATACCATTAATATTGTAAATTATATTTTATCCTCTCTAGTATATGTTTATTTAATTTTTTGATTAAATAACGAGCACTTTGTTACTCACTTGTTTCGTCAAACTGCTTGAATCCATTTTTGTTTCTGATCAAATCGGTGTGAGAAACTATGAAGCTATAAAATGTTGTTTCGGGAGAGTTGAATATGCGGGAAAGTTGCGTTATTGAAAGTTATTGCACCCAACAACGCCCTAATTACGCTCTCATTTACACGTTAACATTTCTTTGGCAATTTTATTAACATTTGAAATTGTCACAACACAACACGATGCGTTACATCACACAAACTTCGTACCTGAGTGTTTTATAGTCTCAATAACTGCACTAGCAAAAAACTAAAATACTTAAATATTATGACAAAGCCCGTAGTAATTAATTTAATTGATTATTTTAATTGGGTAATTCTAATAAAGTATCTTTTTTGCTTTTTTTATGGCTTCATTTCTAAACCATGGATTACTTAGTTTGATGGCTATGTCGGCGAACCCTACTAATAACCTAACTAATTACTATATTAGTAATATTAGGTATTTATAAAAACACTGGTAACGTACTGTACCAATAGGGGAAGTAGTTGATAATATTTATTTTGTGCATAAATTTCATATTTCCAATTCAGTTCACCGAAAATAAAAATATCCAGGTATGGAGAAAAATCAGTTTTAAAGAAAACATAGAATGTCGAAGAAAGGGAAAAGGTAAAATTGTAAATTATGATGTAGAAGTCTTGTTTTTAAAATTATATTTTTATAACAAATGAAATAAAATAAAACAAATGTATTTATATTTAACTAAAAATAACTTTAACCAGATAATGTTTTTTTATAACGAGTGCAGAATTTAATCAAATTTTAAAGAACTTTTCCTAGAGTAGTAGGGTGAATATGCTGGACATGATATATGACCTGACCTATATTTCGTTATTTATTATCCATAAAACTAATAGGACCTTCCTGGTGCCTCAAGCTTCGATTAACATCAAACCCTACCGCGACGTCAATATATATCAAGAAATTATCTTTTATCCCAAAAAAAACTGTCATTTTTAATTATACAGGATTAAAAATAATTAGGTCGCTTTGAAAAACATGGAATAATAATTTATACCAATTAAAATTAATAATCAATGCATAAACATTGCTAAAATAAATTTATTTACCAAAATGTATTTTTCGTTTGCCTGCCCTTCGATAGAAGGTACAAACGATTCAATACGAACGTCCTAAATGTCAACAAATTATTTTTCAAAGCAAATTCGGTTTTTTTAATCATTGAATCTGTTGATGAAATGTCCGCAGAACCAATTTTTGGCCAAATAATTCTTTATATATTAAAGGGTGGTGATACTGATGTAATTATTTTTTTTAATTGAAATATCGAAAAAGTATACTTATACAATATGTGATTGAAAAAACGGCTGGGAATGGCACTCGAAGATAATTTTGGCGAAGTCAATCTCTTGACGCCATTTACTAAAAACTGACATAAAGCTTGTCAAAATTAACATTAATTATAGAGAGATTAAACAAAGATAGAACGTTTCCAGACACACAAATCTATTTTCAAAAACTATTTTTTCTGGACAATATTTAAAAATCATTTTACTCGATATAAAAGTAAATTACAACCTTCTGAAATCCAACTGGCATCAGTAAGAGCCATAAAAAAATAAAGAAGAGTACCTATTTGATATTAATGATTATAGGCTATACCGTTATATTAAAACAAGAAAATCATTTAGACTTCTTTAGTGTTTAACATTTTTTTTTGAAGCTTTAGTTATTTTAGAAGGTTTTACGTATATTTGAGGACACGCTTTGCCGCTGCTATGATTTAACGTAAGAATCCATTTTCCATTTCAACAACACAATAATATAAATCTGAAACCTATAATAAAAAGAAAGGAATTTGGGAAAACCTACAATACCTGTACCCCACCGAGAATAAAAAATATGGAAAAAAATACGAAAAAACTTATCACTGGAGATACGCACAACATATAGTCGATAAATAAAACTTATCTGAGACGGTTTAAGATTCGAATTTTATGAATTCCGTTTTTTAAAAAATATATTTTGAGTTCCCTGGTAATTTAGTCACAATCACCGAGTAGTGGTTGGAAATTTAAAGGTATCTAAGTAGATACTAATTAAAATATTAATATTATATATATTCTTTTTAATTGATTTTTGGTGAAATTTGATTGAGGTATTAGTTTGTTGAGGTATTGCCTTGGGTTGTAATGAAAAATGACATTTAACTTTAGATCTTATAAACTTCGTTGATAAGTAAATTAGCTTTATTTTTCTTGAAGAACCAATAAGTCAGTTTTACAGGTTGATAGTATACAGGGTGGCCCATCGAAAACGTTCCGCAAGGCATAACGGCCAGGGTATTTCTTTTTTCAAAAAATCCCAAAACACGTCAATTTTGTTTGTGAGGGGGACAACTTTTGCCCCAAAAATGATTACAAAATCTTCAACCCTCTGAGCGGGGGTGTCATCCCCCAACTTTTTTCAAATGGGAAGGGGGGTCAAGTGGCGCCGCAATGAAAAGAGCTTTCTATTCTCTATATTTCCCCGGCTCGTTTTTGAAAATCGGTCGAGTCATTGAGAAAATATGAAGGATTGAAATTTGAAAAGTTTATTTAAACATTTATCAGAATAAATGATAAGGATAAATTCTTTCGACCAATTTGCTGTGTTTTCTTATTATTTCTAGATGTTTACGCATTTTTTCACTTGCCATAAGGTTGAACGATCAGGTACGGTCTCAATATCGTTAAACTGACCCACAATAAAATTTCCAAAAATACCAGCCCGCGACGATCATAATCGTCTTCGTTGAGTTCTTGTACCAACTGAATTTTGTACGGGTGGAACTTGTGTGATTTTTTTTAATATCCTTTGTGTGTGGACGATTCACGCCAGTCTCATTGGCTAATTTTCTTGTACTCAGCGTACTATCCATGGCAACTTGGCCCAATACGAATACCTCCATAGCTTCATTTTCTACAGGATTTTCCCTCTGCCTCTTTTTATTCATAACGGAACCAGTTTCACGAAATTTTGCTACTAACTCGCGAACAATTTTGCCATAAAGGTGTTTGTCAAGATGGCGTTCATTAAATATCTGGGCAACCCGATTGCCACATTCATTATTTTTAAAATAAAGTTCGATTATTTCCACTTTTTCTGCAAGTGAGTACATCATAATTGTTAAATAACGATATTGAGAAGAACTTCAACGCACAAGTCACAGAACAGCTATCTAGCAACTACCGCACCTGATCGTTCAACCTTGTGGCAAGTGAAAACATGCGTAAACATCTAGAAATAATAAGAAAAAAACAGCAAATTGGTCGAAGGAATTTATCCTTATCATTTACTCTGATAAATGTTTAAATAAACTTTTCAAATTTCAATCCTTCATATTTTCTCAATGACTCGACCGATTTTCAAAAACGAGGCGGGGAAATATAGAGAATAGAAAGCTCTTTTCATTGCGGCGCCACTTGACCCCCCTTCCCATTTGAAAAAAGTTGGGAGATGACAGCCCCGCTTAGAGGGTTGAAGATTTTGCAATTATTTTTGGGGCAAAAGTTGTCCCCCTCACAAACAAAATTGACGTGTTTTTGGATTTTCTGAAAAAAAAATTACCCTGGCCCGTATGCCTTGCGGAACGTTTTCGATGGACCACCCTGTATAATTTTGTCTAGGGACTTCTCAGGGTAACCATTCTGAAACAAATCCGTCTGTTCGTTTTCCTGTTATTATCGATTCGGAATCGTCCTAGAACTTTCCAGCGCATGCGCAAATGAAATAATGTCTTCATATTTCCTTCTGCGCATACGCATCACAATTCTAGGACGGTTCAGAATCGGTAATAACAGGAAAACGAAAAAAGCTAGTATTATTTAGTTGAACACTAAGTGATGCTTGGTCACTGCATATGGTGTTTGCTCGATGACATAAACTTTTAACTATTCTTTTCTTAGTTGCTTCAGAATGGTTTGACTGAAAACTTAAATAATGTCCCGTGGTTGTGGGCTTTCTGTATACAGAAGTCTCAAGTAGAAAGGGGGGATATATCCTTTCTACTAATAAGGACATCTAGAAACGACAGACAGAGGTTTTTATCTTTCTCAATCGTAAATTTAATGGAACCATTTTGTGAACTGAGATGATTGAGAAAGGAATCCAACTGTCTCTCGGTTTCGTTCCATATTATGAAGGTATCATCAACATATCGAAGCCAGATTTTAAGTTTGACCGTATATTTCGTATATTATATTAGTTATCATTGGAGAGAGCGATGAACCCATCGGTAAACCATCATTTTGAGTATATATTTTATCTTTAACTTTCACCTCAGCGACCAGTGATTCTTCTGACCGAAACCAAAATCAAAGTAAACAAAGACGATGGAAGTCCGAAACTCTTTTAGGTTCAATACTGAATCATTGTCTACCACATTCAAAGAAATTTCCATTTAATTATACTTTTATATTTTTTTAATAAAAGAGAACTTTTGAAGTATTATTTCAAATGCAGATATTACATACACAAAATATGTCAACAAAATTATGTGCATGGATTGTGTAATACCATTCCAATCAGTTATTAATATAAACGAAATTGGATTGTTGTTATTGTCACAATTTTTAAGTCGCTTGAAACAAAATGAGAAGGTTATTTAGTTTGAAACCTAATAATTTCAATTAATATTAAATTAGTTTATATGCCGCTCGTGAATAATTAACAACTGGCAGTTTTGGTATTTATATTTTTTACTTACTTGTGTCACATGATGGCAGCCCACAGGTAAAAGGATCTTTGAGGGGATCTGCAAATAAAACTAAATTAGAAATGTTTACCGGCCTGCCATCTTTTTATGATACTGTAAACAACCCTAGGATGGCCTAGTTTATCAAACAGCTTATGTATCAGAATTAGGGCCTGCTTTATTTCAAAGCGAACGCGTAGTTTCGGGGTAGAATAACAATCTTTATCCCATGCTTGGAATTATTTTAGCCGTATCTAGTGTATATCTTCGGGATGAGAAATAACGGTATATCAAAACCCCATAAAGGGAGATAATTTAAACCAATTTAGTCCGATTTTCTCCGACTGGATAAGCAATAGCTCGATTATCAGGTAAATTACCTTATATTATGTGTTCGTTTTACTTTGGGAGACATCGGAATTGAATTACTATCAAGATCTTGCTTTAGGAAACTTCTATAACTTAAATCATCATTCGTTAATGAATTTTCTTGCACGCCATATATGATAATCGAGAGATTTCAAGACTAGAGACGAAGTTTAAAAAATAGTATTCTACTGTGTAGAAAAATAATTAATAGATAATTTTTTCCTAATATTTGAAACTGTAATATTCTATCCAATATTTGCTTTATCAATTACCAAAATCCATAATAAAGTTTCATTAAAAGAGTTATTCTTCGGACATTAAGATAATCTGTTTTTGCTGAAAATATGTAAAGAAGTATTTATTACTATGTAGCGACGAGCATTTTGCTATTTACTTTCCAGACATTATTTTTAGACCCGATAGTCGGAGAAGGCCACTGTTTTATGAGCCCCTTTTGTGTACTTAAAAATGTAAAACCAAAAGATTTATTTCCCTCAACTTTAGTGCTTTTATTAAGGTGCTGTAAGATTTTAATAGCAAACAAATATAATATTACTTAGTATTGTTACTGTTATTGAATACTTCGGTAATAACAATCTATTTAAATAACATTTTTAATCACAGAATAGTTACATCCTTAATACCAATCTCATATTTATAAATTTTAAGCTTTATTTTTTATTTATGTCAATAAGGTCAATTTAATTCTACAGAAAATTCTTATCTCAAAGGAGAACTTTTGGTTTTAAAAATCTATATTTATTTTTAACGCTAATTTCATTCACAACCTACTTGATTCAAAAACCTGTGTTCTACTCATTGCCGAAATTTTGGACAATGTTGTTTGTAGAGGAAAATAAGTATTTTATAGCAATTAACTGATCTCTGAACACCGGTTTCTTGTTGAATAATTAATATTTTTCGTATTTGCCGACTGAGGTTAAATCATTCAAATGTTAATGGAGCCTTCGACTATAAGATAATAGATGCAGAATTTTCTACAGGGCCTCTAATACTAGTACAATCCTACTAGTTCTTATAATAAATGTATATTGCATAATATTGTGCATGTGTATATTTTTTTTCGTCATAATCATTTTTATTTTGAGTCAGTCATTAGTAATCGTAGGTACCTACAAATACCCGTTAAATATACTTATATAGAAAGAACAAAACAAGAATTAACCGCTCATAGTAGTCAATACTTACAGACCTTTGGATGAAATTTAATGACTCTCGGTCACATATATGAGAACTCTATATCAAATCTGTTATTTCTGGAGAAAAAAATCAAAAAATACAAGTTTTATTCAGTATGAGAATCATTATTTTCTTTTTGAAAAGTTGTATGAAAACTTTCTGTTTTTTTTTCTTCGAACGAGACCCAACGAAGCACGGAGTTTTTTCTTATTATGAAATATTCTTTGCCAATTTGAGTATTCATATGGCTAATCCAATCAAACGTCATACAAGAAAAGGATCTTTTTCCAGAAATATTTTTTTTAAGAGATAAGATTCATAGTAGTACTATAATTGGCTGTAAAGAAATCATTTATTTTAATAAGCTTCATATTAACATTCTGTGAACTAACCAAATCTTTTATTTTATTTTAATATTATTATAATTTTGAGTTGACAATATATTTTTGTTTTAATACGCAACAAATACTTTCGATATAATTATTGTTGTTTAGGAGATATAATTTATAGGCCTATAAATCTAATATGTAATAAAACGAAATTCTAGACAAAAGTACAACTTTAACGCCTCTTCAAAAAAGTCTAATACTAACTTTTGGACAAACTTATCTGGGGAGATAATATTTGATCTTTTTACAATTTACCTGGGATTTTCTGTGCCATATTCGGATGCACCATACCGTATATTAAAATACACAGCGTATCGACGCTCAAATAAATAACAATATTATTACTATTACTAATATTAAAAGGGAGTCTGTTTGAATTTCTTAATAAAATTAGTCCGTTTCGGCTACGGTTCCTTTAACCAGAAACAATTTGGTCCACTCGAAAATTCAATGGCGTACTGATTTTATAATTTAATTTCGGTTACATAACCGATTTAGTAACATGTCTAAGTACAAATTTACCCAACTACTCCGATAATTAAAAGAGCCGATTCCCAAGCTCAATGCTCTATTATAAGAGGGGAAATATAATTGAGCTGTCTACCCATTTAGAGTAACCAGAGCCGGACTGAAATTTGTCGCGTAACTAACTAATTTATTTTATCGAGAGAGATAGAGTTTTTAATGCATTTTCAAAATTATTTCCTTTTGAACTTGTTATTAGGGGATGTATGATTTATTGTGCCAAATATTCACTTTGGAAAATAGTGTTTCCCTTCATTTTTTAATTAAACACCGTATAAGCCAAAACGTTGTGTCATATATTAGTTTCTAACTGGTCGTTTTCACTAACTGCTTTTTGTGCGATTTCGTATCGGCAACAATGGGCTGTTCATTATTCGTAAAATTTGGAAAGGAATATTATTTGCAAAAACCGTGCGCTTTCATAAAAGTATGCCGATAAGCGTTATTATTGACTTTTAAATTAAGCCAACTAGCCAAATTTCGGGATAAATATAAATACGGGCCAAGCTTTGATCGCGCAAAATGTTCGCATGACTTAAACTGGCATTGCCCATTTCACTGCAAACATACGGCAATTAATATTTAATTTACAAAATACGTTTCAATGTGAATAATACATTTTCTAAATCGTTGAGGATGAAAATAAAAATAAAGCTACACTTACTGCTATACTGCAACTTAACGGAACTAAACGTCTGTATTAACAACACACAAACCAACAAAAATTTCATTTTATTTAGGGCACATTTATGAAACAACAAATAATTTTTGAATAACTAAGAACTAGCCATCAGAAGGAACCAGACACCTAGAACCTAATAAACCAGTAACGTTTGGGATCATTTCAAAACTTTAAAATGACATGTTCTTATCAACAGTTCAATAGGTTACACGCTGTTATTGAGCAAAGCTCCAGAACCGTACTTAGCCCGCCTTATAATACAATTTTATAAAATATAATATGAAAGATATGTTATACTATATTTTTAATCAATCAAAAAACTAATAATGATCGCATATAATTTTAATTCCCAGTAAAGGTTGATTCTTTGGTTGATTCTCACTATACCTTCCATATCAGCTCCCTTCCGTTTCCCTTCCGGTTACATAAAATATTATATCATGTAAATGAATACGACAATGCACACTATCCGTACCGTTTCCTTTCCGTTCCATATTCTTTCCTTCCATACATTTTTTTGGCGGACGGATTGAAGCGTATCAGAAACAGCGTTGTCAAGTTCTCACATTTGTACCAGCTCTGGTAAAACACATTTATTCCTTCGCCTCTTAATTAAATATATTACCTCTTTCAAAAGATACAAATTTTTAAAATTAAACTTTCATAATGATATAAATTGTACAATAAAAAGTATGGAACTGATACGGAACGGAAGCTTCCGTACAGCGTAAATACAATAAAAAATACGGAACGGATATGGAATGGATATGGAATGGAAACGGAAGGTATAGTGAGAATCAACCTTAAAACGATATGTTATTGTTATCATCCTTACTAAGGCCATATAATATTTTTGGAAAAACTAGTATTTTTTTGAAGAATATATTTCCCACACTTGCTTGTCGAGAAAACCAAATGAGTTCCTATTTTATATCTAAAAATTATAATTTGTTTATATTAAAACAACAAATATTCAATATTATTGTAACTAATAGATCGAAATTTTTACTTTATTCGCACAATAAAATTTTCGACAACAAATTTAAAGGCATTTTATCACCAATTTATATTAGTCAAATTTGTATGTAAAAGACGCATTAATAAAATTGGTCCGCGATGATTTTTTTTCAAAAATATATTAATTCCTTCTCTGTAAATAAATTTATCTTCAAATTTTGACTTGGTTTGCGTTCTTTGGAAGACCGTTCAAATCAATACGCCTTATCACATAATTGCTTCTAGTATTTATTTTTTCTTTGGGTTAAATTACATGTTGACCATATAAATAACTTAGTGAAGATAAAAATAATTTACTAATTCAACTGGTTTTGATAGAGGACCATTATGGGGCTATTGTAGGAATAATTTAAAACCGCTTATCTATCTATTATAAAGGGTGAGTCTTAAATAAGCGCACAGAAACATGTCTATGAGTTTTTTTTGAAATTTGTATTCTTCGAAAATGTAGTTTTGAAAAAAAAAATCTTAATTTTCAAAGTAAGATAACTCTCCTATTACTTACTTTTTGAAAATTTGACTTTTTTGAAAAACCGTAAAGAGAAAATAGGTTTCTTTTATCAAGGGCGATCCGCCCTGAAAATAAATGCTCTTATTGAGACTCATCCTGTATATTTATCGATTTAATAAAAATAAATAATGATAATAAAAATACGGATACAAAATAAATAATAATACTGATAAACTATAAAGACAAACATTTATATTACGCTCTGTATAGATCAACTATAGTAAATGCCCAGTATAGTTTTGATTTCAGGACATGATTTCTTCTATTTTTATTTTTTTTTAAAAAGGCTGATTTTTTTCTTTTTTTATTTATTTATTAATATTTCTGAAACTGTCAAAACAAATTTGAAAATATTTTAGTTTATGTAAAGTAATCAGAAAGGAAGTCAACAATGCAATAATATACATGGCATTAAAAAAAATAATCCCGATCTGACTTTTTTTTGCCACCCTGTAGAAGTTAACGTATTTTCCTGAAATACATCCTAATGCATACTTTAGGTTTCATTTCCAAATTCACTTTCATTTCACTTCACAAAATTTTTACGTTTTTTATTATCGGAGCTACAGATACCCGACGCACTGTTGCCGGACCCGTATAAAATAGTAGGAACGACATTGAAACCAACTTTTTCATTGGCACCCTGTTAAAAGTGTATTTGGAACCTGCAACCGGATCCTGTACTATTTATTTTTTTATATTTATATTACTAATACACAATTCTTGATGTTCGATAAGAATTTGTTGACTTATATCAGTACACTAATTATCAGTAGAGCTAATTTAATGGACTTTTATTTTATTTTATAAGTGTAAAAAATAACAAAACAGCGAATACATGTATAGCATAAATTGTGAAGTAGGTTTAAGTTATTTACTAAAAGTAACAATTCGGTGTAGTTAGAATGCAGAAGTATATAAAATAGATATGTTGAAAAGCCACCTAATTTGAAATTCGACTAAACCACAGTGGTCCACAGAGGCACATGCCTGAATGCGGACATGGTTCAGCCCGACCTATTACCATTTATTTTTTATTAGTTTTGTTAAGCTTACTTTGGGTTTTTAAATTTTTCTTTTCTTCTCTTTTTCATATATTATAATTTAATTTCTATTCATGGTTCTTTTATTTAACGGTTGGTATTTTTCTGTAAATATGCAAACCCAGTGGCGTTCATTAAATTTCTCTTCATATTTATTTTTGAAAATACAAATTGGTTATAAAAAGTCTAGCGAAGAAGAGGGTCGTATTTAAAAGATGTACATATTTTTTACATCTAATATACAGGGTGTTCCTTAATGACATGCTAATATAAGGGGGCGATTTCTCGACTAAGAAAAAAACACCTTAACTTTTGAGATACAGGGTGGTAAATTTTTCCAAAAAAAACTTTTTTTCATAATAACTCCGATGTTATTATAGACATCTTCATGAAACTTAGTACACGTTTTCTATGCATCAAAATGCTTATTTTGATGTACAAATAATTTTATTTATTTCAACCAGTGGCGTCCATACGGATTTTCAATTGAATATTTTGAAGGAAAAAATGGTTCGACACTGACTTCTTTTAGAATAAAAATTATTTTCCAAATCTTCATTCATTTCTAAACAATTTTCATCTCCCGATTTTTTTTGTCGGACACATAGTTTTTGCTTAAAAAAATAAGTCATTTTACTTCAGGGTCAAATCGCTAAAATTCTGGCCAAAAAAATACAGGCTTATGCATAGAAGACGTGTCTGAAATTCCATAATGATAATTATAATAACCTCAGATTTATTATGAAAAAATGTTTTTTTTTTAAATTTTACCACCCTATATCTCAAAAGTTAATATGTTTAGGACATACATTCATATGAAATTTTTTTCTTAAAATAGGGCCAAGAATCACCCCCTTACATATTAGCATGTCATAAAGAAATACCCTGTATATATATTTTCTAAATTATTGTTTTAGTTCGTTTTTTATTTATAAAAATATATATTTATAGTTTGCCATTTTAATTCTTCTTATTATTTTGCCATTCATGAAATGAAGAAACGAAATAGAATTTTTTTAAGCAAAACAAACAAATCAGTTACTAAACTAATATTTTTGTAAGAAATTTGTGGCTTTATATGGCATAGGACTCTCTTTTGGAAGAAAAAAAAAACCTAAAGATATTTTTATCTCGATTTCAATGAGCCTTTGGATGGTCAATATCGATATTAGTAAAAGTTTTCTTTTATTGGGAATTGGGAAACTTTGATGAAATTTAATTCTTTTGACACACAGAACGAACGACAAAGGAATAAACTAAAGAGAACTTGAGTGTAGTTGAAAAGACTTACTAGAACTAATTTGACTTTTGTTACTAACACTTGAATAGTTCTTTCGAGTTTTGTGAGTTCTTCAAAGTAGTCTATTTTCGTTTGGTAGTAAGGTGTATGAAATATAATATTTTTTTATAAAATTCATAGATATTTTGACTGATTTTGAATATAATTTAATTCTTTCTGCTGTTGGGCATATCTATTTTTAGTGTAGATGTTTCTGCTCCAGTGATATTTGCTCTTTTACTTGTTTAAATAATTTGATTGAACATTCTTATATTAGGGATTGTGATTAAAAGAGCCAAAAGGTCTTCTTTCAAAGCAAAAACGTTAATTTTGTTTTTTCCCCTGACGACTGGAAGAGATATATTCTCTGATTGATTTTTTTTTAAATGTTGCTTTTTTGTAGTTATATGCAAAAGAGCGTAGAATTGTAGCAATTGTAACACATTTTTAATGTTATTAGGCTGTTAATTTAATAGATTTCGACCGCAGCAATCGTACAGCTAGTGCATCGTCTTTTTAAAAATTGATATATAATTTCGCTCCCAGTTTTAAAATGAATATTTCAAGACCGTGCAGTGTTCATCCGTTCTAGTTTGCCATTTTGATATTCTCTAACTATCCCTGGGGAATTATGGACTTTAGGAAGACCAAATGTCAGGCTCTGATTGTGGTTAAAAGTTTCATTCCTGAAAATATACTTTAATACGTAGGTAACAAGGCGGTTTTGCCGTCATATAAATTATTTTTTAGATTATATTATTTTCTTTAAATGTTGATTAAAATTTTAATCTGTCTCTTGAAAATCATAAGTCATAATCTAACGCTTATGAACTTCATCACTCTTTATAGTGACACAACCGCATCTATTGTCTAAGCGATTATATATTTTTCTGAATTCATATTTTTGATATTGTTTTGCTTTGTTATTGAAATATTTCGCTATGATTTTATATAAAAATAAATATATATTGAATCGAACAATATCCACCGAAAAATGCGGTTTTATTGAGGGTACAAGTAATTTTTTCAATCATACTCAACGTTTGGATCAAACAGAAGTTTAACTGAACCATGCGAATTTGTAATAAATATTATGAATATTTAAAATGGCCAGATAGAATTTTATGCTAAATTTCAGGGCTATATCACAGGCTATATTTTCAGTGAATTACTTGTTTATTATCATAGACAATTAACAATGACGTTATTAACTACGAATTAACCACTAATTATCAGAATCATTTAAATTTTTATATTACTTTATTTACTATTTAAACGTAGAGTGTGCA